AGGGACCAAGCCAAATGCCAAACTCTCAGTGACACTGTGCTAATGCTTGTATATGCTGAGGAACTGGGAACTAGTATGGAAGGATTAAAGCAAGACCAGCTCCCCCACCCCCAAATCTAAAACTCCAGTAGACAGAAGACAAGATTTTTCCTTTCTCATAAGGGTGAAGAGAATAACTGGCTATTCACCACTTTGGTTAAACACCAACTGGGTTTAAGGAGAATAGGAGAGCCAGGACAAAGGATTTCACTATTTCAGGAAATGCCCCATTCTTCCAGCTTCTCCAGAGGCTGCTGTTTAGATAGAGGCCCAAAGGGAGTATCCAGCCAGCCTTCTCTTTAGCAAGAGCCCTGACACCATTGCAGTTATGATTCCCACCTCCTTGGATTATTGTAAATTTCCAGCCTGCTGGAGGAACTGATCAATGCTACCTTTGGGATTAAAACGATTGTCCCTCCCAATATGTACTGACTACATTCACTGGTTCTGGAACAAGCGGATATCAAAATGCACTATTTGCAAACAGGGAAAAAAGTACTCAAATGCATTTATCTGGCAAAGGACTCCAATCAAGAATACATGAAGAACTCCTACATATTAGTAATTTTAAAAAGCCCAATGACAAAACATAATCAGGCATTTCACAAAAGATACTGGACTGGTCACACTAAGCATACGAAAAGGTGACTGTTATCATTAGCCATCCAAGAAACAAAATCACTGTTACTACATGCTCAACGGAATAGCATTTAAAATTTAAAAAGACGGACAATGCTATCTATGTATTGTTCAGGATATAGAGCAACTGGAATTCTCATACTTTGCTGATAAGCATACAAAACCAGTATAGCTACTTTCCAAAATACCTGCTTTAACAGTTTCAGAGTTTAATGTGTGCCAACCTTCTGACAAAGCAATTCCATTACTGCTCAAGAGAAATAAAAGCATATATCTATACCATTGCTTGTACAAGAATGTTCATAGCAGCTTATGAATAAAGCCAAAAACTATAACTCAGATGTCCATCAGGTACGGTATGTAAAGCAATGTATCAGATGTACTGAATAAACAACTCTCAAAAACATAGTTTCAAAAGGGAATCTAGACAGAAACAAAAGAGTACTGTGTATATGATTCCATTTACATTATGTATGAAACTAGACAAAGTCCATCAACCATGAGAGAGAGCACAAGCGTGGTTACCTCTATCACCGAGGGAAGAGAGTACTGACAAGAAAAGGTTACCAGGGAATTCTCTGGGCTCTGAGAAATGCTATCTTGGTCTGGGCCATGGCCATCTGTGTTTACATATGTAAAAAAGTCATTCATCTGTATTCTTAAGATTTGTGCATTGTACTGTATGTAAATCTCACCTTAGTGAAGTATTAAAAAGGGAGAAAGCACTATTAACTTGAAGAAGGGACAGGAGGTCAGTATTTCTAGAACAGCCATTGGCTGGGTGAACAGTGCCCTGCCATATGCCAAGGGGCACAAAGTAACACACTCCCATCTTTGCTATTTTATTGCTTTTACTAAAATGTAGGAGCCACAGAAAGCAACTAAATCAAGCCACTCTCTGCTGAAAATTCTTTGCTGGAATTGCAGACCCTGGACTGCCCAGATGCCCTGACACCTGAGCCAGGCGCTGAGCTCGGTGATTTACAATCATTTCGCGTACCCTTAACAACCCAGTAAGCTTAGACGAAACCCACTTTCTTGTTCTTCTATTTCCTGTAGAGATGGAGACTCACTATGTTCCCCAGGCTGGTCTCGAATTCCTGGCCTCCACCAGGAGATTCTCCCGCCTCAGCCTCCCAAAGAGCTGGGGTTGCAGGCGTGAGCCACCCCACCAGGTCCAGCCCCAAACCACTTTAAGATGGGGAAACCCAGGGTCAAAAATGGACTTCTCCCAGAATAGGAGAAGTCGTACATTTCAATACATCTTTGTCTGCATCCATGTAGGGTAGTAGGGCTCTAGGCAACTCAAAGCCTCTCTGTAGACGTCGGTAGAATTGACGAGGGGGTGACGCGCTAACTTATGAATGAATGACATTCCGAAAAGACCTGGACCTCGACGGGAAGGGGAGGCCCTTTTACTAAGTCAGTAATAACCTCTCCACTTTCTCTTATCTACTGCCAATATAAAGTGAGTAATTCTTTAATCAAAGCCCACTTGCCCCAAACTATTCAACGTACACTGCGGACTATCATAACTCGGCACCCGCCCCGCCCGCGCCCGGCCCTGCGCAGGAGCCCTGGCTCGGCTCCGGCTCCACCTCCCCTGCCCCGCCCCGCCCCGCCCCGCCCCTTCGGGCCCGCGCACGCGCAGGGGCAGTCTGGGAGCGCGACGGCGTACCTGCGCAAACCCGGAGGCAGACGTTTTTTTCTTCTTGCTGGCACCGTAGCCCCCGCCGCTGCTGCCGTTGTGGGAAGGGCTGGCTGGCCTCTTCTTGCTGTTCCGCACTATCCCGGGAGTGGAAGTGGTGGCTACAATTGGAATTTGAGCTGCCATCCCACCCTTACTCTTCCTCCGGCTCCCCCCACCTCTTTCCCAGGGCGGGCCCTCGCACTTCCGGCTCGGCGTTACTTCCGTCTTGGTGCTTGAAAACCCGGCCTGGACTCCCAGGGCTTTGCTGACTTGTCTTGGTGGAATGGAAAAGTCGGAGCTCGGAAAAGTCTATTCCCTCAGGGCGGGAAGGTGTCTTGCTACTCAGGAGCTGGGAAACTGGGCTTGAGGCACGTGCTTGGTAATCCCCGGTGGTAGCGGAATAGAACAACTCGCGGTCATTTGAAATAGCTACATTTTTTTATAATTTATAGTCATTTATTTTTTTCTCATGTTAAAGCAGAAGACTGATCACTTTTGGTGTTTGTAATAGTAACAGTAGGGTCTTTCGCTGGACTAGACAGACCGCTAAGCTGGTAGCTTTACTCTTGGCTGCTGACTTCCCACACGGAAGAATTTCGTATGTAAATAGTACCCATGTGGACTTAAAGGGTGAAGTGATTCTTAATCTTTAGAAGTCACAGGTCCCTTTGAGCTTGGAAGCTTTGCTTCCTCTCCTAACCTCCACCTCTTCACCCCCACAAACATATGCAGACACAAACAAAATGTTAAATACAGATTTCGAGGAAGTCATAATCAGCTGAAAATTTATTTATGAACTTCAGTGCCCCCCGCTTTGTTCTTTGCCTCGTTCTTCTCTATACTTAGAACCTTTATGACATTACATAACTAAGTGGTTTATAATTGGGTGGTGAATATCTTTTTTGGCTCCTGCTAGAACGTAATCTCTATGAGGGGAAGGCCCCTTAGGACTTGTTCACTTACCTGTCCTCAGTCACGGTACTTTGCAAGTTACTGGTACATTATAAATGTTTTGTTAATGACGTGGTTAATAAACGCAGGAACTCCCTGAAGTGACTAATTGGAAGCTTGTTCTAATACGGTTAAGTCATGTATATAAATCTGAGTATTTGAAAAAAATAGGCTGCAGAATGACTTAGAGGTGAGAGAGTGAGCAATAAGTGAAACTCGCAATACTGTTACTGGTATCTTTTCTCCTTTGAAGAAAGGAATAACCTGTTAGTGTTGAAATGTTCTCTCCCACAGCCGGTTTCCAACCCATCCTCAACTAAACCTAGTCTTTTCCTTATTCCTTATCTCAGAGATTCACACTTCCAACCAGCCGGTCACTGAAGCAAACCCTCTCTAGTGTCCCAGCCTTCCCATTACTCTCTAGCTCACTTCTCTCCTTCACTGCTCCTGCCCTGATGAATCTATCTCCCATGTTTGTATCCCTGCAACACCTTCTGGGTGAAGTTCCCACCTCCATCTTTTCCTCATTAATTGCTGACCCCTGACGAGCCTTCATACAGGCTGCCAGAATGAGCTTTCTAAATCAAAAATCTAATCACATTGCTTACTTTCTTACAGTCTTCAGGGCCCTTTTACCTTCAGGGTAAAATCCAAAGACCTTTTTATTTTGTCATGTAAGGTTCTTGGTAACTGGGCTTTGTCCTCTTCTCTTTCTTGTCAACACATGTGTCCCAGCCAGGGACTAACTGTTTCAATGTTCAGTAACTCCATAACAATGCACATTGTTGTTCTAAGTCATCACGCGTTTGTCTACATTATTTCCTCCCCTAGGAATGCTTAGCTCCTTTCCTGGTTTCCATGCATTTTACCTCAGTTTGGATTCTACTTCCAGTGAAAAGCTTTGTGCCATGTGATGTCCCCTCCTTCCCTGCCCCTTCCCGGTGCTCGTGTTGTGCACATGAGTGAGTACAGAACACACCGTGGGGTGGTTTCCTGTAATCTGTTAGTGAATGTTTATGAAGTTCAAACACCAGTTCTCTACTCTTAAGGAGTCAGACAAATGAATACACCGCCATCTGGCCTCCTGTTAACTAAAGTCAGCCATGATCTTGCCTGATTTCCTCTTTCTGAAATTCTTTCCTCAGTGCCTGAAACACTACCATCCTTTTGTTTTTCTCCTTCCTGACCACTGGCCATCCTTTGAAAGTTGTCTTACCAGATAGTTCCTAATGCTACAACAGGTTACATATACCCCCTGCAGGCAACACGTTTTAAAAGTTTCCCAGAGGATTCCGATGATCAGTCAGATTCAGAACCCAGGCTCTTCTTGCTCAGTCTTTATGCTTTGAGAGTGGTTGGTGCTGGGTCCAAGGCCCTCTGCCCTTCTCAGTCTATATACTCTTCCCTAGCTATTTCACCAACTCTTGGAGGTTCATTTTCGTGTACCGTCTAAATGCAGACCACTTTCAGATTTGTGTTTCTTGTCTGGCTCTTTCTCCAAAGTTGCAAGCCAGATATGCTGCATAAACTTAGATGCTTACAGGCATCTTCCACTCAGCATGACAAAACTAGAATTCATCATCCCCTCTGCTCCTCTAAAGTATGTTCCTCCTTCAGTGTTTCCTATCTCAGTAGATGCCACAATTACACACCAGTTGTTCAAATCAAAAACCTGAAGTCAGTGCTTGCTTCAGCAGCACATACACTAAAATTGGAAGGATACAGAAGATTAGTGTGGCTCCTGCGCAAGGATGACATGCAAATTTGTGAAGTGTTCCATATTTAAAAAAAAAAAAAACCTGAAGTCATCCTTGACTTCTCCCCTTCGCTCACCTCCATGCATAACCCTATTCCAGCCACCATCGTCTTTCTCCTGGACTTGCACATTGCCTGAGTCGCCTCCCTGCTCACACATTTGGTCCTCCAGCTCAGCCACTCTGTGATCCTCAGAGATCTCTTTGAGGATACAAATGTGCATTTGGGGGTCATATCCCCTTCCGGAAATCCTTCAATAGGTTCCCATGGTCTCTAGGATGAAGCTCAATATCCATGGTTCCAAAGGCCTTGACAGCCCTTCCATCTCGCCCCAGCCTTGCCTCTGCTCTAGGCCCCTACACTCCCATTCCATTTTCACTTTTATTAGTTCCGGCAGCCAGCTGTGCCCTTCCTCCCTCCACCTTGACACACTCTGCGTCTCCTATCTGGAAGCTGCTTTTCTTCCAGTACCACCCTCCTCCAGTCTCACTGCCACACATCCTTCCTATCTTGGCTGCTGTACTGTTTCCAGTGTTCCCTGTCCCTCTGGTCTGGTTCCATATTCCCATCAGCCTCAATCTCAGTCATCTAATACTTATTGATTGCCTTCTTTTTTTAATTTTGAGGGTTTTTTTAGACATAGGGTAATACCATGTTATCCAGGTTGGCCTCAAACTCCTGAGCTCAAGGAATAATTTCCTCCTCAGCCTCCTAGTAGCTGGGACTGGCCACCAGTCACTGCACCCCAGCTTATAGATTGCCTTTTATGTGACAAACAAAACTGAATAGTCTGTGTTCTCAGAGAGCCCCCAGTCTAGTAGAGAAATACATTGTGTTTGTCTTCTCAGATGGACTTAAACTTCTTGGGGAAAGTTGCCAGAGTCATCAGGGATTGCTTGGCAAAGCATTAACAGATGGTAGTAACAAAGAGAGAGAGAGAGACATGCTGGAGGCCATCCACGCCAGGGAGCAAAAGCCTGGGGCAAGGAGAAACCTGCTGTACACCTGTCTTGGCAGTGCCAGTCACTGCCCAGTGTTGGCATGTGTGGGGCCTCCAGATGCTTTGCTGCATATGTAACTCATGGGTTCCATATCCTTTGGCAAAGCTAAATTAACACCGATGACCTGCATTCTGTGAGCCTACATGCTGAGACAGGGCCTGAGGCTTCCTTAAGTCCCCTCCCCAGGTATCCCTGAGCACTTGCAGGGCGCCTCTCACCCCTACTTTCGTGTGAGCCCTCTCAGGCACTTCCTCCTCAGCCTCCTGCTGGCACCTGCAGCAATGCCTCACTCCCTATGGTGAAGGCTGCTGGGGCCTCCCCTGTGATGGTGATTCCCTGAAGGGGGTGTACCAGTTAACCAACCTCAGCCAAGGTCTTGATCTCAGTTAAGATTTAATGATCAAGAATGAATGATGTGCTTGCTAACTGCCCTATATCATGTGAGACATAAAGTGCCTCGTTTATTTTCTCAAAAATCTCAGGAAACAGTAGATATTTGGGATCATGCTACCACTGGCAGGAAGACACTGCTCATCTTCTCTGCCTATTTTGTGTGAAGTATGCTAGTCACCCTCGCTGTGTGAAAAATGGCTGGTTCCAGTTGGTGTGAAACTCCTTGACAAGAGGGGAAACCTTGAAACTGCTGAAGTCAAGACCTTCAAAATCCCCAACTCACAGCCATGGAGAAAGACAGCCCGTGTGCACCGCACCTCCTGAGCCATGTGGCCAAAACTAAACCTGCCAGGATGAGGAGCTGCTGGAGACCCTCAGAGACCAGGCTCTTGGGAGTGCGAGCACATCAGCACTCGTTCTTGGGTCATCATCTCTGAGAAACCTGCTCACAGAAGCCTGCGTTTCCTCCATCACCACAGGCCTAAGTACATCATGTGGTAAATACTTTTGGGGCATAAGCTCATTTGGGCAGAAACAGTTTCTTCTCTATCACTGTTTTCAGAGCATTGCAGGCCCTCAGTGACAATCTGTGTCATCATTTAAAGAAGTAATCAATATGTATAAGGAAAGATCTCGGGCCAGTGGAGCTTGAGGATGGACCTTTGCTCACTTCGTTACCTGCTTATTTTTCGCCTGACAGATGCATGGAAACTTTGAAAGGCTAGAAAGAGAGTGATTGAAAGTAGTCCTGACCCTGCCATTTGCAGGATCCAGGGCAAGAATACAAATGGAGGCCTAACTACCATATGCCTTGATATTCAAATGTGCCAACCAAGCTAATAAAATGCAAAATACAATATGTTCAACCCTTCTATCTTGTCAATGTGCCTTCATAAGTCAGGGCCAGAGTTGGATTTGAAAAATTCAGATTCTTAGGAGATCTACTCAGAATATGGTAGCGTGGAGAGAGCTGTTCCAGCCCTGGGCATCCACCTCTTAACACCTTACTCCTCAGGACATCATCAGAGGACATGGGTGCACACTTATGGAAACCCCAACACACACCTATCCCATCCTCTACCCTCACAAACCGCCTCCATTGACCACCACTCAGGCAGTATATACATCAAACCCAGGGGCGAGGTCCACAGAGGCCCTGCAAGAGGGGCACAGGGCCTCTTGATCAGGAGATTCTGGGGTCCCTGATACTCAGAGAATGTTCTAAAAGGAAGGAGTGTGGGACTTAGTGGGCATGTTCTCCTATCCCCACAGACTCCTTGCTCAGTGCAGATGAGGGCCCTCCAACCCCGGCCAGGGAGTTGCCTGTAACCTGTGCTCCAAGACCTGACACCAGACAAAAAGCAGGACTGGCTCAGCACCCATAGCTCGGTTGGTTAGGGTACCAGCCACATCCACCGAGGCTGGTGGGTACAAACCTGGCCCAGGCCTACTAAGCAACAATGACAACTATAACAACAACAAAAGAAATAGCCAGGCATTGCAGCAGGTGCCTGCAGTCCCAGCTACTTGGGAATCTGAGGCAAGAGAATAGCTTGAGCCCAAGAGTTTGAGGTTGCTATGAGCTGTGACACCACAGCACTCTACTGAGGGTGACATAGTGAGACTCTGTCTCAAAAAAAAAAAAAAGTAGGAGAGGCAGGGAGCTCTGGCCTCCCTTACAGTTGGGATAGGAGAGGCAAAGCCAAGAGATGCAAGTGAGTTGGCAGGAAGTCGGTGTGATGCTTAGCCTGAGTGTCTTCAGTGATGGTGGGAGTAACGTTACCTGCTGGTGGGGGAGAGGGGGAGAGGCTTGGGAAGGGTCCTGGGAAGATTTGGAAAAGCCACGCTTTAAAGGCACCATTAGAGAGAGGGCTGAGAAGGGACCTGGCAGTGCCCTGTGGGTGCTTGGGCACTCTGTAACATGACCACATGTGATGGCAGCCCTCAATCAGACACTGTGCTTCGTGCACAGACATACTTGGCACATCCTGCCTTATGCATTCTCTTCTCTGAATCTTGACCTCAACAGGTAATATTGCTCTGCAAAGTCTCAATGAGAGAAAATAGTTTTAAGGGCCATCTTGCCTACAGAAATTACTTCTTAAATAACCATGTCTGTTAAGTAAACACCAATTTAGCATTACAAATATTACCCAAAAAGGCTGACAAAGGACTTTCCAAACTGGGGGGCCCTTGCCTTTCATTGTGAGGGGCAGGCTCATGATCCCAGGATGGTATTTTTCTCACGTTTGCTCCCCAGCCCTGTGAACCTCCCTCTGGGCACTGGTCCTTCTTTCTCTCTTAACAGAGGCCCCACCCATTACTTAAAATGAATTATTATTTTAATACTTACTCTTTTGTGCATACCATAGAGAAAGAAAACAATTATAATTACTGTAATTTTCCCATATCTGAGAGTCTCTCCTCATTTTGCGCTCCTAAAACCTCAAATCTGCTAATCCCCACCTGCCTTCTTAAATTGTCAGGCTGCCCCGCTCCCCCCACCCTCCTGCCTCCCAACTCTGCTGCTGTGTTGCCTGCTTTTGTTTGTTTTTATTCACATGTGACACTTTGTTTCTGTCAGCTGTGTTTGCACAGTGAGATATCAATCCAAAAGCTTTGAGGACAGTTGGTTATGGAATAAAATAGAGGGAGGCTCAGAGATGTTCATTTCCTAAGCTTATGAAAAAATCCCCAGAAGAGCCTGAGAGACTGAGGCTTCCTCCAGGGTGTCCCTTACTGTGCCCTCAGGGGACACTGCTGCTCCTGCTTCAAAGTAGGGGAGCCAAACCGTCTACCCCACAGAGTGTGACCTGGCCGTGGGGACAGGGGAAGAGCCAGCAGAGGGGGTGGCCAAGGGCGGGAGACCCAGGCTGGGCTGAGGGCAGGTGTGAGGCAGGGCTGTTTGCAGTTCTCTTCTTCAGCATGGCCCTGGACAGAACCCAGAGGACAGTAGGACAAAGGAGTTCCCATCCACCACCTTGTTCAAGGAAGATGCCCATTGTTTAGAGAAGCAATGAAACATGTTCGTAGCTTTTTAGAAAATGATTCATTCTATAAAAACTCAAAGTACTTAGGATGCCCTATGACCTGTCTCTTTATCTATCCTTTTTAAGCTCTCACACTGGGGCTCCTGAATGTTGAGTGGGCTCTGACCCAGACCAGCTGCCCTGTGCTCTATCCCAATTCTCTCCGGGTTCTTCGAGGCCTGGGCCCCATCCCTGGCCTGGCTCGGCTCCTGTCTTGGCTCTTTTGATCCCTGTCCCTGGACTTCGTGGAGTGGCCTCTGGCCTTTTGCCTTACCCTGCATTCACTTATGATTCCCTGAAGCTGCTGTGAAGTTCATTCTGAAAGGTTCTGTTTGGTTCCCCTACCTACTTACACTAAGGATCTGAACTCTCTGTAAAGATTGAGCTGGGTCAGTGTGAATTGAACATGAGTTTGGTTGGTTTGTTTTTGAGACAGAGTCTTGCTCTCCGTTGCCTGGGCTAGAGTCCCAATTCCTCAGCCTACTTCTCAACAACCTCGAACTCCTGGGCTCAAGTGAGCCTCCTGCCCCAGCCTCCTGAGTAGCTTGGACTACAGGTGCCTACCACCATACTCCGCTAAATTTTTCCTACTTTTAGTAGAGACATGG